TGTTTTTCTGTGAAGAGTAGCCATCTTTCAGTGGCCATCTTTTTCCTCATCATGTTTCTGATTATTTGACATCATTGTAAGGAGAAATTACTGAAAGGCCCTTACAATTCTTCCATTGAGAAGTCTCTACCCTTTCTTTGGTAGGATTTAGACATATATTCTCCTCACTGTCTTTAATACACCTATTATCATTGGAGTTCTGAGAATTTGTTTTTTAATTAAAAAAGTATCCTCTTAATAATATTTAACTTTTTTCTCATCACCTTCCTGACAGATGATGTACCAATATTGCAAGGAGAAATTACTCATTGGTCACTCCAAGGAGTAAAAGAGTTGATGTTCTCTCTACTGGGAAAATAATTAATATTTTAATAACCTATTACTATATTTTAGGTCCACCCTGAGCCCTACCTTTCTAAACAAAGATACTAAGCAGGATGTGAATGTGGAGAAAGTGTACAGCCTCCTTGATCCTGGAGATGAATCAAACACAAGTGCTTGCCTCAAAGGTGCCTGGGTTATTATACAACAGACACTTCAGCTGTATTCTCTTAATGAGCTGCTGCTCCACATTTTGCATGCTGTGCTGATAAATTATCACTAACTGCCCAAGAGCTAAAGGCCCTATACTTTCACCACGAGTCACCATTTCCTCAAGCAGAAGAGTTCATCTCAGAAACAACCAAAAGGTACAATTTGAATCTCATAACATTGACAGGAGACATTAAAACAGGTCTGAGGACATTCAAGATAATTATATTCTGCTATGCACTTTGTATCTTTGGTATGCAATAGTTAAAAAATACTTTTTTAACGGTTTCTTTGGAAATTTAAATAATAATCAACTAAGTGTACTCTTTGTTTTCATTTATTTCACATTACACTCATTTCTAAATTTATGCAATAACTGGTTCCTAAAAATGCTTAGCAACAAAGATATCACACTAACAGACGTTGTAATTGCATAGCTCAATATCATTTACAACATCCTGCACTGATTTGAATTCAGCCCCTATCTCTGAATTTTCTCTCACATTTTTTTACATTTCATTTGATAAATGTGCTGAAAATCATCAGATAGCATGGTTTAAAAACCTTGCATAGTTCAAAGTTGGACTTTGCTGTGTGCCTCCTGTAGGAACTTTTAAGGTACCTACAAACGATCAGGGCTTGGAAAAAGTTTGAATGCCAACCTGCACATGCCTGAGTAATTCTCCCATGAGCCTGAGCTTATTAAAAATTTATAGAGAGGAGAAAAAATGGAAATCAATTTAACACTAACAAGTGATAGTATCAAACTGCAAGATATTGGATATACAAAGGCATTTATACCTAAGTTGTGTTTCCCTTGTCTTCTCCAAACCATTTAATATTTAACTTTTGATACAAAATTTATATAAACTGCCATTTTCAATTGGTTGCACTGGCTATTGACAGGATTTGCTACATTCTACTTATGCATTGAAATTCATCTAAGTATGGACTTTCATGACGGTTTGAAATATTATCAAACTTGACAATTTAAATGTTCACATGTCACTCTTTTCCTACTCCACCATCAGGGCTGGATTCTTTTACCTCCTGGTTGCTTAAGCTATAATGACTGAATTTGCAACATTTTAATGTTTATATATTGATCTAGAATGGTTTACTTTTGGTGAACTGCGCTGATATGACTTAATTAAATCACAGAAAGAAATTCAGCCCCTTGCAAATATTTGCCGAAAAACCATGTCTAGCATCTCTTTCAGTCAGATGATGTACAACTAAATCATGCAACCTTTTGACTCTTGAGAGCTTTTGACTGTTTTGAAGTTGTGGCAATTTTTTATTAAACTCAATGGAGTGGTCGATTTCCTGAGTTGCTTACCTGACAGACAAGCAAGCAGAGAAAGTTACTTGCCCAAGCTAGAAGTCTAGTTGCCCCAGACAACCAAATGGGTTTTTTTTTTTTAAGCACTGAAACATGGTTTAACATATAGTTTTAAGCAACTTATTTCTGGACCAAAACTAATTCTACAGCCATTTTTAAATGTTATCATGGTTTTAAAGCCACATGCTCTAACCTATTTAATACATTTAATTAATTGTTTTTAAAATTCCTTAACTTTTTCTGGTACAGTCACTTCACTCACAGTATCCGTACATTATAGATCACAATACGTACTTATGACATTTCATTTTTGCCCCTAAGTTTGTCACAATTTTTTTTCTTTTCTTCATACAAGTTATCAATGTTTTGGGATAGAGAAATTTCTGGAATCAAACCTTAGCTTTGAAGGGTGACTAGCATGTAATTTCTCCTTACAATGTCAACCCTGAACCACACATTATGGTCACAGGACTAAAGGAATTGATCATCAACTAAAGGAACTCTTGATTGTTAAACAAGTTCTCCTTGTGAGTAACTTACAAAATGTTAAAGGAACAGTATGAAGATTATGCACAATGATGTTAGGGTGGGAGGGTGTAAACATGATGTCTCTTTCGAAGCTTTCCTTAGAATCAGGCTATGTGACAGCATATTCGGTACTAAGGGCAGTTTGTCAGTACACAGTGTAACAAATTGCAGTGCAGGCTCCTTTTTTCACAACTGAACACTTGGATGTTCTTACCAAGAAGAATGTCAAACTTTATTACAGAAGTCTTGTTGGAATTTTTCATCTGATAAAAAATTTAAGCCTATAAACTTAGTTAGCCCTTTACTTCCCAAGATCTCATTAGTAATTCTCCTTACCATCTGCTATACAGTTCTTGTGATGTTAGTTTATAGAGTTTGGTATTAGATCTACTTATAATCTCCTTATTGATGTTTTTTTTTTCTCATCACTAGCCTGCTTAGTGTTGTATTTATATTGTAAGGAGAAATTCTGTCTTGGTCACTCATGGGAGTTAAAGGGTTAAGTAAGTGTTTAAAATGTCTTTTCTAACAAGGAATTTCAGGCCTTGGGCAATTAAAAACAACAATGTCTAGGATTCATATACTTGGTCATTTGTTGTTTTTCCTCTAAACTCTACAAAAACAATCTCAGAAAATCTACTCACTAATCTAATCACTACATCATACCTGCCCAAATAGGTGCATTGCACCTCAGGTTGTCATACAGTTTTGCTGCAGTTTGATTTTAGTATGAATATTCTAATGAAAACACATAAACAGTTATAACATTTGATACAACTATATAATTATCTAAAGAGATTACCATGAGACAAAGCTAGGCATGAGACCTCCAGGAATGACTTATATAATTAGGGGCCATTGAAAATAGTGGTAATCTCATTCAGGTACCTCAAGAGCACCCATGCACAAAGGGGATTGCTCTTTAATTCTAAATAAGTGAAATAATACTGGTATTTACATAAGGCCACAAAATGAGTAACACAAGCTCCAAGCTATAACTAGAAAAAAGTTGGATAAATTTGCAATGTAAGTTGTCAATTTGGCAATCTAATTTTTGGCAACTTGTGCTAAGCAATTGTGTCGCAAGTTGTAATGTTTTCACTACTGTTATTCAAATATGAAGTCAAATTTAGATAGAAATCTTCTTAAAATATTACTCAAGCTAAGTCTTCATATTCTATTAAAATTTTCTCTTTTGGTATCCAAGAAAACCAAATTTAGCCACAAACATGCACTTTGCTATTATTGGCTCTGTGCATCATATAATATTCAAAGTGTCCTCTTTAATTTCTTTTCTGGTAACAAAAATTCAGTGACCAATTTGTCGTTTTTAGTTTCTATTCAAAAGTGACTTTGAAAACATTTCAGCTAAGATTACTAATTATACAAGACACCCTAAAAACTAAAATCCATCCAAATTTGATATGGTAATAAACTGATGGATTGCAATTGCACCAAAAAACAAGGCAATAAAAAATAATCCTATTTTATTTTACAGAGGAGTACAATAGCATAATCAATTTCTGTTGTGTTGTTGTAACAAGAATTGGATGTGTCATTGATCAAAATTTCAACAACAAAAAATCGGGGGGAAAAACAATTTTCAAAATATTGATTATTTTACTAACTTCACACTTTAACTTGTCTTGTTTTCTTCAAAAACCAAGCTTTTCTTATTGTTTTTCCAATTGTGTACATTTCAAACACAGGATGCTCTATACCCTTGACACTTTGCTAAGTGTCAGACTCTGGTGTGCTATGCACTAAGCAGTTTTATTAGTAGCCCAGTGTCCCAGTTCATGTAGAATTTGATCATATCATTGCTGCTACAGTTTGCAATAATAATTTTGTTCTTCTCTGAGAACTATGCCCACTGGGCTTTACTAAGTAACTTTGCTTCTAGAAATTAATATTCAATTGTTATTGTTAGTGGCTCAATATTTAAAGATCTCTCTTTACTCCATCAAGCTTGAGAAGACTCTCAAATAATCAGTCCTTATTTCAAACATACCAACAAATACTTAACTTAGTTTTTGCATTTCAGTTAGTTGTTGCAAAAATGCACTTTAAGGCTCTTAAACTCAGTCTGGTTTTTCTCATGTTACCTTATCACAGAAACAGATTTCCGTTATGCCTAAAATAATAATGTTGTGAAATAGATATTTGCATACAGCACTATAACTTAGATTTAGACTAAAATCAAAGTGTAAAATCAATTTTATGTCTTCTAGCATAAGCACAGTGACTCACTGCTTTTGGAAACAAGTGGGAAAAAAAAAGTATCTTATCATGTAAAAGCAGTATTATCTGATATTCTTAACACTCTAACTCCTAAGATCTGATGGTAAATTCTCCCCTCTAGCAGCCACACATTTCCTTGCAAATTAGTTATGAGAAGTTGGTGCTAGATGAAGATAACAGCTTTTACCTGATAAGCTTGAATATTCTCATTACCTGTTTGCTGAATAATTTATGGGTATTATAGGGAGAAGTTTCATGTTAATCACTTTTGGGAGTTAAAGGGTTAAGGTATCGACAATAACGGCAATAATGATGATAATTAATAATGACAGTAATGAAAATAATGAAATGTTCCTTAATGAGATGGCAACATTTTCAAACCATTTGGAAAAGCAAGACTAAACTTTTACCTCAATATTTCATTTTGGCAAAATTTGCCCCTATTTAACATTGATTTCCTTCCACTTTCAAATTTCATTTATCCTGTATGGACAAATTACAATAACTGTATTAGATTTTTGCCAGTCTAGTTAGATTAACATGATTTTAATTAGATTCCAATTAATTGGTTTCCTTTCTTTATAAAATTAAAGAAACCTCTTGACCATCTTTAGACATCTCAAACACAGGACGCACTTTACCTTTGATACCTTGCCATGAGTCACTCTCTTTGGTGCGCTGGTTGTAGATTGTTAACTTTCTGTTATCACAGTCCAGATAAAATTCAATGATGTCACCACTTTTACATTTTTTTATTGTACTTTTCTTAGTGTATGATGGGTGGTACTTTTCTCCTGCCTCCCACATCCACTGGACCTTAAAAGGGTACCTCATTTCCTTGCTGACACCAACACCAAAGGAAAATCCATCAGAAACTTCACCAGATATTTTGGCTTTCCATGAATGCTTTCCAACTTGAAATGAAGAAGTACCAAAGACTGTGAGTCTTTCAGTCAAGTCTTCATCTGGGTCTGTGTCTTCACCAGTGTCTTCATCTGTACCTTCATCTGTACCTTCATCTGTACCTTCATCTGTACCTTCATCTGTACCTTCATCTGTACCTTCATCTGTACCTTCATCTGTACCATCATCTGCATATTTATCTGAGAAGACAGTATGTGGATTTTTTAAAAAGTTTTGAATTGCTTCTGCAACAGTTTCTTCATCTAGATATTCATCTGATTCTTCATCTGTGTCTTCATAATCGTCTTGATCATTTTCCTCAAATGCCACATAAGTTGCCACCATTGAATTTTTGTCCAACTGAATGAAGGGAGCTTCATGATTTTCTGTGAAGAGTAGCCATCTTTCAGTGGGCCAGATGCAAGGACTACCTTTAACATGACAACCATTCAATTTCACTGACAACTGGTACTGCATATCCTTTTGGTTTGGAGTAAAGTTGAAGCTGTAAGTTCCATTGCTAACATCTTTAGCTGGAAACTGAGCCACATCAATAAATCTAGTTTTGCCTTTTGGTACACAAATTTTTATTTCACATTTGTCACCACCTTTTTTTCGTTTCTCTCCATTCTTCTCTTTCGCAGTAACTGTGAATTCAACTGGTTGCTTGTTGATCGTATTATACATCACACCCTCTAAACCGTGGCCCATAGTGACTGTTGTTGTACCAGCATCTGTACAGATATTAGTGATGGTTCCATAGCTGGTTAACACTTGGTGAAGTTGATCATCAGCATGAAATCTAAAGCCATCGTGTGCACATGGCTCTAGTTGCCATATTTCAGAATTTAGTTCCTGTAATCGGTTGGACATTTTCTTGCGCATGTTCAAAATTTCCACTTCACTGCCATTTTCCAGAGCTTTCTCTGTGAATTCCACACTGCTTTGTACACTGGACAAGGCTGATTCCAGTTCCTCTTGCTGTACTTCTAGTGACTTCTGTTTGGCCTTTTTCAGTTCTTGCACACCATGAATTAATTCCTCACAGCGAGCATTCAGACAGGCTATTTGTTTCTGAAAAGTATTGGTCACTTCTTGAACTGTCTGTTCTGCATACAGTTCAACACTTCTCCTCATCTCTGAAACTCTATCAATTGCCTCCTTTAGTAACCCTGCTTTTCCTTTTGTCTGTAAGAGAATTTTTAACACACTTTCCTTTTTCTCTACAAAAGCATCTTTGACAAAAGTATACTTGTGTTCACGATGCTTCACAATAGTACAGTCTCTACAGATAGCTTCATCACATGTTTCACAAAACAGCTTCAACAACTCTCCTTCATGTTCCTTGCAGACACTGGGTTTTGTTAAAGCTACAGCTCCCATATCTTTGGCTTCCTCAAGTGACACCAGACAGTGTGTCCTTGAGTTACGTCCTCGCTGATGTGCTTGGGTGCAAAACTCACAAAGAAAGTGGCTGCATGTGTTACATCTGTTGACAGGAGGGTCTCCACTATCACAAATATCGCATTCCAGCTTACAACTTACTGAATCTTCATGAAGTGAGACCAGGGACATTAAATTGTTGAGGAAGAAATTAACTGGCAGGGAATCAACTTTTCCCTCGGGAAGCTGGGTGAAATAAAACAGAAGCAAGAATGTGATGTCAAAATCTGCTGTTGAAATGTTTTTCTCAACTAATAAGTGTATATGTACAGAGACAGGGGTAAGGCTTGTACGAATTCTAAATCAAACTCCTTGTCTTTCTTATTACATCTTCTGGTCTCTACGCTGGTTCACAGAGCCAGTTCACAGGTCTTCATGCATTTCTCTAACATTCAGTTTGTTTTACAGTTCTTACCTCATTTACCAATGAAATCATTTAAATCATTAGACCAACGGTTGCGATTGAATAAAGTAGTTGTGCTCTATCAAAGTACACGCCAAGGGTACGCATATGACGCTGTAACTAGAAGCGACTGCATGGGTAACTTAATCTGATTAATTTTCTATCAGATAATTAAGGGATAGCGAAATGAAAATCTTGCTCAGATCTCTTGAAAATTGCATATTAGCAATAAGAGTTTGGGGGAAAATAGTTTCTAAGTCTCCCTTTTATTCAAAAGCGTCGTTGAAACCCCTTTATTTTTCGTAAAATATAGATACATTTCAGTAACGCGATGGCGGCCGAAAAGCGAATTCGAGCATCCTCTGAAAAATCACATTTTCTGTACAAAATTTGCGAAAACGCAGCTACATCAAGCCTTAACTTAATTGTGTGTTTCACAAATCCTTTAATCTTCAAAGAATACTTGTGTAGCGTAAATTCAAACCTACCCTTTCATTACTCCAATGTGTACATGTACGTACAGTTCTACAAAGACCCTGTAGCGGTGTGGCGAATACTCAACGGTTTCACATCACGATAGCAAGGAATGATACATCACATTCATAAACTAACCTCTACACTAATTCGACAAGAAGGACAAATCAACTTCCAAGCGTTTCTTTTTCTATCGACCAGCCCTTCCAGACATATTTTGCAGAAGGAATGAAGACACGGAAGAACTTTGGGATCTTTGAACTGCTCCAAGCACACAGCGCATTCCAACTCCTTCTCTAAATTTTTGGCCAACGTTGGAGCTTTAGCCATCTTTGGTAAATCACCTTCCTCACAAGAAAAAAAGGTGAAATAATCGCACAAAACAGCTCGAAGCCCGAATGGAAAATATGAGCTTGTTAGGATTTCTAGGAAATCGACGTTCTGGAAAGTCACGTGCTAGTTATGATGTCGATATCATGTTCTGCCCTTCTTTAACGTAGGTACGCAATGCGTACAAGTATATTCAACTAGTTGCATTTCGGAAGGGTTAAAAACTGTGGTTTTTTAATCACGTTAAAAAAAGACTTGATTAAATTGCTTTTTCAGCCGGAATTATAAGGGGCTAAAGATTTTCTGGCTACCTATGATCAACACTGGCTAAAACCTTTTTGGAACACCAAAAAAGAATCTTGCATGAACTGATTAGTACAAAATAAGCCAATCAGCTACCTTTTAGCTTGTTGAGTTGGCTTATCATACCCAAGAAGTTAAAACTGTCCAATCATCAAACCGTATCGTGACAGCTAATCAAACACAAACTCGTGAAGTATACAGGTTAACTTGATGGGTTTGAAATATACTGAGGCAGTCTGACTTTCCATTATAGAAGTTTGCAGAAGATCAATTAGTACTAAGGGCCTTTAGCAGTGAGCAACGCGGAGAAGGACGTCGATAAAAATTGAATTTGTTTTTAAAACTATGATTTTGCAAATGGCTGGATGCGTTCACAGTTTCTGAAGACGCCACAATTAAACTTCAGCTTAACCTATGTGAGCCTCATTGAGTTTCATATGGAAACTTCGATAATTCTCCGCTGAGGTTTCCGTTCACATACCACGCAAATTTTTTTGATTTCACGCTGTCGTTTTTCAGAAGACGGCTGAGAAATGTATAAAGTTTTAAAATACACGTTCTGAGCTGTTATCCTGCCCATTAGAGCTTCTGCTTCGCACGTCCTCATTCATCATCACTGTCGCGTTTTGCGTTAAGGTCCCTCGAATAGTTACATTGGAAAACAAACTTAGCCGTGGTTACTTTGCTATCAAAGCAAAAAAATACTTATTTTCAAAAGAAATTGGTGTTTTGGCGCATTCTCCCGGGGCGCGAAATTAAATTCGGTCACAATGACCTAAAACAATGTATGTATTTGCGCGCTCAAAGTTACAATTACTAAATTTAAAGTAGTTGCTTTTTAAAATCCCTTGATGGAAAACTTCAGAGCAACGAGATAGATTCATAAACCAAAATTGACAGACCACGTTAACATTTTTTCCTACCACAGTAGATGAATTTGTCATCGGACATAGCGAACTCGACACTACGTTCGAGTTGGCTACATGTTCGCTACTAACATGCCGAATTCGCTGTCTCTGTTAATTTACAGTTTTAATTTCTCTTTTAACCATAAACCACAAGCAATAACTGTAATTTATACTCCCAACTGCGTGATTGCCGTTTTTAGGAGTCAGTTAAACTGATCATATGCAAATTGCCGTCTAGTTTGCTTTTAACTGCCTCGTTAATTTTTGTGATTGTTGCGAGGTTGGATTTCACAGGTAAACCTGATTGTAGGGTGGAACGTATTGGCGAAGTCAACAAAATTGTAAGCTTCTTTCATAGAAATGTCCCTCAAGAAATCTATTCTAGACCAAAGGTTAGAGGGGCTAGCCATTAACAGTCGTTTTTCTAGGTCTGCCATAAAATGGCAGAGAAAACAACTGATAAGTATCAATCTGTATCATTTAGAACAAGAAAAACCTGAACTAGCGTGATGTTTATTCAATATGTTCCAGTTTTCAGTTGCCTCGATTCAATTCGACGCTTGAACATATGGTTTCAATTTAAAAATAAAAAACTTAGTACACAAGTGTTACATGCTAATCTAATACGCTTAACACGAAATTCTAACTAATCTCTGTTTTGCTCTTTTCTGTTGTAAGTCCAGGAACTCGGTCTCTAACAAGCATACAAAAACGACCGCGGCACGCATCGCCTTATCAGGAAACTTTTAGCCCTACCTTTTCTACGAGCTGAAGAAATTCCAACCACCTTCCACCGACTAGAAACTTAAGCAGTAACAGAACCCTTACAAGCCTTCACCCAGTATATTAACAACACCTGGATTAGAAGCACCATGTGGCTCCTGTCCTCCTGGAGCGTATTCCAACAGTACGTGAGAAAAAAAAATTACACAGAAGGGTGGAAACATGGCCTAAATCGTCGAGTACAAGGAAAATCACAGATCCCGTAGTACCTACTCATCGAGTTACTCTTAAAGGAAGCGAAACTGGCATTCCTTCAGATCCGCCTTGTATCGTAGAGAAAGTGGAAGAGGATCCAGCGTTGAAAGTAACTTAACATACAAGCCCATCTGTTCGATGCGTGGGAGAAGTTTGAGACAGGAGACATTTCAGCAAACCGTCTTCTCAAGAAACCATCACACATCATCGCTTCGCGATTTTGAACTGGATAAAGGGAAACTGTTAGCTATTACAAATCACATATATCCTACATGAAAAAAATTAGGTTATTTAAGGATTGTTGTTATCAAATGTACATGTACATAACCTAGATTCATTCAGCTTACTTCAAGGCCATTTTCGGGTTTTGCTACCGACGATCGAGGTTTTAATGCGTCTTTAAGTTAAGTAGGATTTAGGATTTTATATGATAATAATTGTAATCAAATTAAAATTGACGATGATAATTGTAATCAAAGTTACAATTAGTTAATAAGCTTTTCAAGCGCTGTGTGTAGTAGCCTAGATTTGGTACCTCTAGATTCAATTTGTTTGCGTTACTCTTAATAGAAATCTTTTAGCGTGCATATAGACTGAAATTTATATAGTTTAATGATAAAGAAAGTACTGTAAAATGATTAATTTTGAGTCTTTTTTACCAGTTTTGTGCTTTCTCTCTCTTGATAATGCCGCTGTTCCATTGTGGCCGATGCGCGGGCTCGATGATAATCACGGTAATATGCTATAAAATGGCGCCCATTTCAGGTTGAGTAAGGCAGATTTCTTTAAAACAACATATTCGAAGAAGTAGAATGATAGAATGGTAGGACGAAGTAAGTAGTTTATTCGGCATGTAAGTTGCGAACGCGAACGTAGCGTACTCGACAAGTAGCGAAACCGGCTGTTAGTAGTACTGCCTATCATCCAGTCAAATACCAATTCCCAACAAAGTTTTTTACTTCTATTTAACGTCCATCGAGGCGCAAAATAATTTATTAGCAAGGAAACTTTTTTTTCCTCAGGCTGAAAAGAACCGCATAACACAAGTCGATTGCGTGATAGGTCATGAATGAAGTTGTCAGTGTCCCGCGAGCTGTAACAGTTAGAATTCTCCAGCGAACAAACCACGGTCTGAACGGCCTGCTTGTCTGCACTGTCTGTATTCGGCAATTTGCGGTCGCGTCTAAGTATTAACGTGTGAAGCATGTACTTGAGAAGCCGATTTGAATTCTTGTGTACCCAAAGACCACATAGCTAAAAAGGTCTACTCTGAAGTCTTAGAAATTGTGGGTATTTGCTCAAGTAAAAAAAGGTTAAGTTGCTTCATGCAATTGAAAGTAATTGTGAAAACGAATTCCTCGAAAAAAAAGCTATCCGCCGACTGCCAGGTAACAGCTTTAAGCAGACCTTTAAGCCAACAGGCAGCAGACAGTCGGTAATCTGTCAGCAGGGTTGTTAAAAAGATTTGAAGTAGAAAGAGAATGTAAGAAAGTAGGCGGCACTGGGGGCTGAAGGCTCCCACGCTAGGCAGGGGGTCTGAGGCCGCCGAGTCCCCCAGCGGGGTACAGGGGCAGCACCCCGTTGGGGGTCCAGGGGGCAAAGCCCCCTGAAGCAAAACGAATTTAGGGTTTTTCCACCAGCTGAAATTGCCTCTCCTTGAGGCAATTTTTATATGTTTGCACTATTCTAACTGGCAACAGTTAACATTCCTTTTACCTCTCTAAGAAGATCTAATCATTTTTATTAGTGAGTTAAAAAAAAAAAAAACAATTTAGTAGTCACTTCTCACATGTGAGCATCTGTCATCATATTTTAGCAACATTAAGATTGGTTTACATGAGTTTGCATTTGATGTTCCTCTTCACAATCACAGAATTATTTATCATTTACTTGGTTTCCAAAATCAATTACATCACAACACTCAATTTCTAGATGGAATTTTTAAAACTTCGCCATTTCTTATGGTGGATTTGTGAAAAAACTTTGCCATTTCCTATTAAGTCACTCAGGACTGTCAACACTGTCATTCTGAGATGAATTTTGAAGGGGGTGATCTTCATCGCTAAAACTCCATATCTGTGTCACTGTCACTTTCAAAAGCCGAGTCATAATAAACGTCAGGGAGGCCAATGGCTGTTGTATCAGCTTCTACCTCTTCATTCTCAGCAATCACATTGGCATCCTCATCCTCAGCCTCCTCGCATCCAGGTTCAACTTCCAAGACACTGTCTGTCTGAAGCTTCAGCGGCTTCCAGATTGGCTTCAGGCAGTGATCTCACGGTTGAGATCTTCTTTAGTTTCTTTCTTGGCTTCTTTTTTAACCAATTATCAACTGAAGACTTGACGACATCACTGCACTGGGCACTATCTGGGGCATTGATGGCAACTTGCATTAACGAATTCAACATCTCATTACTGAGACGGTTGCGAAACTGTCTTTGTAATGTTTATAACACTCCCTCCTCTCTCTGGCCAAGCGTTGCTGCAAGGTAGTGAAAGCCCAACTTCAGCCACATACAGCAATTCTTCAGAGATTGAGGGGTGGAATATGCCCTCATTTTTAAGCAGGAAAGACATGAAGAATGTGCTTCTGTGACTTCCTATCGGCAAGCCTTTTAACTGCTCAACAGACAGAAAAAACTTAACATGGAACCACTGACAGAGTAACTTGGTCTTCTTGTCTTCACTGCCAGGGAAAAAGTGATTGGCCAGTACTGTAATCTCAGCTTCTCCATACTCTTTGAAACTTTCCTCATTACTGGAGGGAAGAAGGTGAGGATCAAAGATAGCAAAAGCTTCAATGACCTTTGGATAGCTTCCAAGGCGATCCTTGATGTTGGAAGTTAGAGCATCCACATAGTTGATCAGAAGGGCTTCTAACTCCTTTCCACTATCTCTGCCAAATTTCAGGTCACTTGAGATGTTGGTGAAAGAGTCCATGTCAGACTGCAATTTCTCCAAAGGTATTTTGGTTTTCCTTTAATTCTCTAAGTGCCGAAACAGCTCAATTGACTACCGGTCGTATCATGGAGAAGTGAAAATTACCAGCTTGAAATTGTTTTGATAGAGAGGAAAGGACTGGTGGGATGGCATGGAGGATGTAAAGAGTACCAATAAATTTAACCTTCTTCAGTCTGCTGATCAATCCAGTAGCTGTTGCATCATCGATCTCCTGCAGGGACAAAACAATGGCTTCATAGCTTTGCAATGCTGCAGTGGCCGATGCATCAAACCTTAGCCACCTTGTCTGGCATGCTTTCTTTAAACACTTCGCTAACAGCTTCTTTGTCTTCTCTGTGTGGTTCAAATTAAGCTTCTTAAGTTGAATCTAACACTTTAGGAAACAAGCTGTTTTCTTTGGTGAGTTGTGAAAGTAATACCATAGCTGCCTCAGGATATCTTCCACCTCTTTAATAAACTGGAACTCTTTGTTACAAAAATTCTCCTTATCAGCACCTTAGAAAATGTATGGAGGACAGTATTGAGAATAAGGATACTGAAGTTAGGGTGTAAAGGGTTACTCTCAGTAAGAAAGTGACATCATGTGCTGACCAGTTTTAAATTGAAAAGTGTAAACCTCACTTATCTTGAATGGAGAATGGAAACTGACTTTGTCATGCATACTTAAAGCCTTTTGGATTAATTTGGTCAATTATATAATTCCTATACCCTCTAAGGACACAAACTATAGATGGTTAAGCACAACACCAAAAATGAGAACTTTCCTGTCATACTTCATATTTTTCCTTTAGTTTTGTTACAAATAAACACTGCATGATCTAGAAACTCCTCATTAACTTTATTTATGTTGAAATTACACCCTATTACAGACTGAGGCACTTTAAGTTCTGACTATAAAACAAACTGCCAAAACTATCTATTGTAAGTGATGAATTCTACCAAAACCACTTATTTACTAACAGACTAAGACCAAAACAGGGCCAAAGTTTAGGTTTATCAAAATTCTTTGCAGTTTTAGTTTCATTCTTGGCTTTCCTAATTTAAAAAAGTTCACACATGAATTCAACATTTCTGCGTCATATAAAAATGTAGATACTCAAAGTTAGAAGCTTGGAGAACATCAATTATCTCCTAACCTTATTCTTGTTTTCCTCAAACCCCAGGAAACCTGTTGATTACCAATATCCATTTAAAAAATTGCATTCTACACTACTTTGCACACTTCCTAAGACAGCTTCCAGTTATTCTCGTTGAATTTCCAAAGACTTCTGTTTCACTTTTTTTAGTTCTTCAACATCATGAATCAATTCCTCACAGCAAGCATTCAGACGAGCTGATAATTTCTGAAAACAATTAAGCACTTCTTGAACAGTTTGTTCTGCATTTGAATCAACACTTCTTCTCATCTCTAAGACACCATCTATTGCTTTCTTCAGCGACCCTGCTTGTCCCTTTGTCTTTGAAAGAATCTCCACCACGCTTTTCTTATTCTTTGCAAAAGCATCTTTTACAAAAGTGTAATGGTGCTCTCAATGCTTCACAATGATACAGTCTCTACAGATGGCCTCATTGCATGTCTCACAAAACAGCTTCAACAACTCTCCATCATGTTCCTTACAACGACTGAGTTTTTTTGCAGCCACAGATCCCATCTTTTTGGCTCCTTCAATCGACACCATGCCATGTGAGGTTGTGCCACGCCCTCTCCGATGGGCTTGAGTGCAAAACTCAAAGAGGAAATGGCAGCATGTGTTACATCTGTTCATAGGAGGATCGCCACTCTCACGGTTATCACATTCCAATTCACTACTTCCTGAATCTCCATGAAGGGCAACCATAGATAATAGATTGTTTAGGAAGAAATTAACTGGCAGAGAATCAACTTCACCATCTGGAATCTGTGTAACAAAAAAAGAGATACTATTTGGAAAATTTAAATCAATTCACTTTTCTCCTCATTATTTTGTCCAATCTCAGTCACAGATGGTAGCCTGTTTAATGGTTTCCAGGCTCATATGTGACAATCAGATTACACATTCTTTAACTAACAAAACAAATTTACATAATTAAGGCGAGAAGTGGACAAAAATTACTTAATTATGTTAATAATTAAAAGGGAAATAGCGGAGCTTGAATTTCTCTTCTTGTCCATTAAAGAGCGGTGGTAGCATTTAAGAGGTAAAAGGATTTAGAACATCCGACCACCGGTTCTTATCACGGGCTTTCGAGTCTGAAGGTTTCCTGCTTGCTTAAAATGTTATGTTAGCTTTTTCGTAAAAGGAATGTACATTTAAGTCACGCCTTGGTGGCCAGGAGATGAATTTTAATAACGATTAGTATCTTCTGAAAACCACATTTTAAACGAAAAAATTGAGAAAAGGCTGCCACGCCATGCAATACAACGTCACTGATGTTTCACCACACTTGTGTGATATGAATTCAAAACCACATTCACCAGCCCTTTCCCTACTGTATGCCGATAGAGGCGTCATTTGTCCCTCAACTTTGTCACACTAGTTTCCCACATCACGACAATCAATAGTAATTTATTTTCACAAACTAACCTCTACTCTAATGCGACAAGAAGAGCAATTCAACTTCTAGGCGTTTCCTTTTCTATTGACCAGCCTTTCTACAGAAGGAATGAAGACACGGAAGAACTTTGGGATCTTTGAACTGATCCAAGCACACAGCGCATTCCAACGCCTTCTCTAAATTTTCGGCCAACGTTAAAGCTTCAGCCATCTTTGGTAACTATCTCCTTCCTGACAAGAAAAAGAGTGAAATAATCGTACAAGTAAGCTCGACGAACTAATGGAAATTATAACATCTTAGAGTTTCTTGGAAATCGATGTGGAAAGTCACGTGATAATGATATTGTCGAAAGATCATTCCAGCCCTCATCAACGTAGGTACGCAATGCGTACAAGTATGTCTAATTAGCTGCAGTTCAGCACGCTTGGAAAATGTGGGTTTTTTATCAAGTTAAAAAATAATATTAAATCCTTTTTTTTCAGTCGGAGTCAGAAAAGAAAGGCTAAAGATTGTCTGGCTACCTTTGACCTTAAATTGACGACCTCCCAAGGAGATTAACTCGATGACATCAGACAACGCTGCACCTTTGCCAACCAGCTGAATGATTATTTTCATGAACTTTGTACGGACCTGAATTAAATTGCATCAGTAGATGTGGTTGTCGGCAGCGAAATCGAAGTACCTGAGATTCCTGAGAGGCTTGTTTGGAAAAGTCTTAGCAAAATCACACGAACGGCTACGGGTCCTGATGGCATCCCGTTTTAGCTTTGGAAGGAACAGGCTGAGATTTTAACACCAATTCTCAGTCATATTTGAAATTTGCCTCTGCGCACGCACACCTGGCCTATGTCATGGACAAGATCGAATATCGATCCGATACTCAAGGTTGACATACCCAAAGAAAAGTCTGACTACTGTGGTATAAATTTCACTCCGGTTATAGCCAGGGTGTTCGAGAAAGCTGTTTATAACACCTTTGTGAAGGAGGCTGTGGAAGAAAACCTTAGCACTCCTCAGTTTGCTCATCGTGAAAGTGGAAATTGCACTGGTGCACTGTTAGCGATCAAGCACTTTATCAACAAACACTTAGCTAATCCAGACTGTGAGGCAGTACGGGTATTCGCAATGGACTTCAGCAAAGCGTTCGACTTAGTTAGGCACGAGCTGCTATCTATTAAACTAAAGTTGCTGCCCCTGAATGCCTATATCATCAACTGGTATCACAGTTTTCTTTATAACAGACAACAACGTATAGTCAACAACAACTACCTCCACAAATGGAGAGGAGTAAATAAGGGGGGGGGGGGGAAGTGTGAGCGGCCCCTACTTATTTAACGTGTTATTGACCTTGATATTAAGCTAGGTTCCACTCCCACCCTTTTTAAGTATGCAGATGACTCAACCATTGTAGCACCAGCGTAGAAAGGGGGCAGTGACTCGTTAAGTGGTTTAGTGGAGAAATTTTTGACTTGGGCGAACTGTAATTCTATGAGCTGTAACCCTAACAAGTGTAAAGAAATACAACCATTTATGATATTTTATGCCAGATATATTGTATCTATTTTGATCTTTTTATTCTGTTGTAATTTTGGCTGAACCTTGAATCTTTCTATCTGGTAACATTAGATGTGTATTTTTATCTAATGAGCAATAAAGACCATTATTATTATTATTATTATTACAATGAAATTAATATCACCAGATGGTAATGGATAAGACGGTTGAGCTTCCTAAGCCAAAACAAAAAACAAAAAAACACAAGCCAGCTGACTGACAAAGGAGTTGGTAACTCGAAAGAAAGAGAAAGGCTTGTAGCCAAAAAAATGGAGTACAGAACATTTATTGAAATATAGGCTAAGAAATTTTGATGTGTTAAGAATAAGGTAAGTTGTGCTGGGTGATTAAAAAATACATTTATTCTAATGACCCATTTGCTGCTTTATTACATGGCTTGAAACTGTAAGGAGAATTTATAAAACTTCTCAGACTTTGGAAAGCTAATAAAGCATTTCAATAACAAAGTAAATAGAAAAGATGAAAAGGAGACATAAATATCTCCAAAAGGATTCAACAGCAATAGGCCATTTTACAGTTGTGTACTTAGTTGTCAAGCCTTTGATTTGGAGGCTGAAGGTGACCTGGTTGTGATAGAGACCAGTATCTAGTTAGCACGATTACAAAGTAATTTACACTTGAAAAGCAGCAATGTTTGTATCATAACAAGGCCACCCTTAGCCTCCACTCACTCCAGTTCAAAGGCTAATGGCAGCCAAGCACATAACTGTGAAATGAACCATTGGAAAAAACACAAAGGGACATATGATGCTTTTGAAATCATTAATTTAAAATGAATCACATCCAAGTTAATTTCAATGTCTCATCTATTTTCATTGAGACTCATCATTCTGCAATGAGCTTTACAATAGCACATTTAACAGTTGCATGCTTGGTTGCCAAGCCTTTGAAGAGGAGTGAGGCTAAATTTTTCAAATGCAAATTACTTTATTATAATGCTAACTAGATACTGGTCTCTATCACAACATGGTCACCTTCAGCTTCAATCCAAATCAAAGGCTTGGCAACTAAGTACACAAATGTAAAATGGCCTATTATAAATGTATCTAAAAACAAGAATATGTGCTAATTAAGCAAATAGGTGAGAATTATTTGCTAAGGCCCATGGTTGAAAGGAGAGGATACTGATGAGTATCATTCAAACTAGCATTTGATACTCAATTTTGGGTAGAAACTATAATTGTATATTATAAAATTTTGTAAGGGGAAACCGTTAACATGAAGCTTGTGATTTACATATAAATTTACAATTCATACAAATCTGTATGAATTTGCCAAGGATCACTCTAATAGGTTCTAACAAATATCTATCTTCCTCCAACTTAGATACCAGTATGTTAAATCAGGTCCCAAGCACAGCTTGTAATAGTCCATTTTACAGTTGTATGCTTGGTTGCCAAGCCTTTGAACAGGAGTGAGGCTAAGGGTGACCTTGTTATGATACAAACCTTGCTGCTTTTGAAATGCAAATTAATTTGTTATCATGCTAACTAGATTCTGGTCCCTAACACAACAAGGTCACCTTCAGCCTCACTCCAAATCAAAGGCTTGGCAACTAAGTACACAACTGTAAAATGGCCTATTGGGAGACAGAGGATTAGGCTAGTACATACTAGCAACCACATCCCTAAGAGTGACTGGCATTTAAATTCTTCTTACCATATCACACCTGTATCCAACATGAAGGTCAGGAGAATAAAGGAGCTGATCACCAACTAAAGAAGCTCTTGATTGATAGATCAATTCTCCATGTTGGCTAAAGAAGCTCTTGATTGTTAGACAAATTCTCCATGCTGGCATTTTATGAAATGTTCAGAGAACAGTATGGAGAATATGCATACTGATTTTTGGGCTATGATTTCAAATAGAAAGGAAACACCATGTGTCCATTACTGTCCCTTTAGATTTTGGGAACTTATAAACTTAATAAGAAACCATTTTATCACAGATGTTAGAGATGATCCTACCACTTTTAAATTCAAGTCACTTTACCCCCAAAAAAGGACAAGAAATAGACCAATTATTGTACCAATAAAACATAATACAGTGATTACAAGCTTAAAACTACTGCTGGACAGAGCATGATTTCCTAAGCTGATATATTGGCTAATTAGGAAGTGATAAGCAAGCTTTATTCACCTCCAAGAAGCTAAAGAGAGACATTATCATCTGTCAAGAGCTTAATTTCCAACCATTAAATTGACAGACATAAAGTACTTTTCGGTTGCTATGTGACATATACTGGTTATACTAAAATAATTATTCACCTCAGTGTCAATGAAAGTAGTGGATATTTACCTCCACTTCAGTGAGTAATTGTCAAATAGGAAATATTTCAATAAAATAAATTGATACTAAAATGGAAAAGTTAAAAGACAGCTACACTTCAAAAAAAGACTAAGTACAAAGTAATTGTTAATCAAAATTTAAGATTCAGTGTCATAAAAACCAAAATTTAAGCAAAAAAAGCAAATCTTAAACAGTGAAGGAAATTGTTGCATCAAAAAGCCTAAAAGAGCCATAAGTAAACATAAGGAGAATGCCAGAGGCTTTGAAAAGGCAGGCTTGCCACTGATGCATATTTTAGGTATTCATATCACCCAATAGTTGAGCTTACAGTATTGCAAAATGAATGCAATCCAAGATGAATTTTGACACAATTTAAAATTGCACTCTTCTTAAAATGTGTTTTTGGTTTCAAATAGGAATAATTTTATCGCCTCAAATAAATTCTGAGCCCTCTAAAGTAATAGAGAAACCTGGTCTCCATGGCTCCTCATGTGAAACACTGGACAAGTATCTCCGTTGATGCCATGCCAAATGTCTGACTCTTTGGTGCGTTGATTGAACATTATCAATGTTCCCTCGTTACAGTCCACGTACATTTCTACAATGTCATTGCTCTCAAAGTCTGTAACAGAACTGTTCTTAACATGCATGTTACTTGAGAGCAAAAGGTGCTTCATTTGTATGGATTTCCACACCCACCATGTGATCCTCTGCAGGTGCTGATGACCCCAAAGCTAAAACCTTTATGGATATTGCCAATTAATTTAGCTTTGCATGAATGTTTACCATTGTAGAATGAAGTAGAACTCACTACGTAGTCCCAACTGTTTGCACCAAAGGGCTAACCAGTGCCTCCCTTGCTGTGTGAGGTTTTAGATTTTCAGGAAATTCCATTTGAAAGTGAGTTTGCAGCACTAGTTCACTGGCACTGCTAAATGGTGAATTTGAAGCAGTAAATAGCAGAGGTTACAGCTGACAGTAGATTGAACTGGGCAGTCAATTTTTCTTCAGACTACAGCACTTCACCTTCAGAGCATCCTGAAATGCGCAGAAGACACCATTTTTCTATGGACCAAGTAAACAGACCTCCACCCACATCATGTCCCAACAGCTTCACAACCAGTTTATACTGACCCTCTTCTTCAAAGTGTATGAGAAAACATAAGTACCATCTTCCCAGTCTTTCACCTCCAGTGATTTAAAACCAGCACCACTGTCACAAGAAGCTGTGAAAGGATCACCTCCTTCTACTCTCTTCTTTCCATTCTATTCCCTGACAATTATGGTGAACTGAACAGGTGAAACTTCTTCTCAACTATGAAGTTGATGACATTATTCAAATCAAGAAAAATATTTACTTAGCGTATAAATATAACTCGCTGAACATTTTGTTGATGACAACTTTACACAAAGTGTGCACTTTTACCTTGGACACTTCCAGGATTAATGATCACTTGACATAACCCAAATATCTGCCTATTCTCGCTAGAGTAAGTTATTTAGATTAAGAGCTCTACACTTGAAACTGACTTGAAAAGATAAATTTCTTAAGTCAATCACATAACAACTCATCTCTGTTATCAGAAGGAAAAAGTTCTTCACGTGGAGGACAACTTACAGCCTTGGTTCGAATATCAAAAAGTAAATTTTTGAAAATTTTATCTCCTTCATTTTTTTTAAATAAAGGCAAATAATCAAACAAACTATCAAACTGACTACATCTGAAACCTATCCTCTCCACTTGTATGCAAATAGCCTAGAAATCAAATCCTGCAAAAATTAAATGAACAAAATGCATATGACATCGATTACAGTTGGCCGTGAAATGAGCAAGGTTTTTTCAACTTTAACCTTATCGCATCGAGCTACTGCGATTCGCATATAGATAAGTGAGTTTTCATCCTCTAACAGTATCATCGCTCATGAGTAAGTTGTAAGTCAAAGTCCAGTTGACAAGTTTGCGCCCACTTTCACAGCCTGCAAAAGTCAGTTCTGACTACATCTGGAACCTATCCTCTCCACTTGTATGCAAAACAAAAGTAGCACACAGCCTACCTGCATGACTCCATTCACTTCTTCGCCTTAAATTTTACTGAACGATTACGTCTGACAAAACCCTGCAAGGGTTTGCGGTGCTGTTTGGTATAAAAAATCCGCCATCTTTCTTTGACTTCGTTGTCGTTGTCAGAGTTATTGTCACGTGACCTGACATTGATCCAGTATTGAACTGATCGCCGGAATCAAGTTAAGATGGCGGACGGAGCGATCGGAAACAATTCTAAGTGGACAGCTGGGATTATCATCATAGGAGACGAGATCTTAAACGGTCTTACCAAAGATGCAAATTCTTACTATCTCTATAAGAAATTATGGTCCTTAGGAGGCAAGAGTTAAAGTGGGAAAAGTTTCTGTGTTTTCAGACGACGTGGAGGAAATTGCCCACGAAGTAAAACAATTCTTTGACGAGGATCTAGTTCTTAATGATGAATTAGTGGAACTAATTTCGAATTCTTATCAGCATGAAATTAACTCGCCCCATTTGAAAATGGCTCGTGTTCCTTCGTCAGTGAGACTGGCTTTTGGAAAAGATCCCTCGGGAAAACCAAGCTGTTTTCCACTCATATCTGCAAATAATGTGACTGTATGCTTTTCTTGGAGTGCCGCAGTTCTTGGAAAAGTCGTTTAGCCTTTTGGAAGATATTCTTTTGATTTCTAACCGTGAGAAGCGGTTTCTGCTGCGAAATATTTATCTTTCAGTAGAGGAGACAGACATTGTTTCCATTCTGGAAACAATGTCCGGATGCTCCAGTTTCAGAATGTAAGTTTTGTTTCAGAACAATTAACAGTATATTTAGATTAGTAAGTAGGGGGTTATCATGACTGCAAGTTCTTTTCTTTATGTTTAATGGAATGAGATTAAAATATCTTGCCTCCCAGGTTGAAAAGAATTCATCTTACTTGATCATGGGATGAGCCTCTAACAATTTTTTTTTACTGTAATTGCAATGAACATTGCAGTGATTTAGAGATAGTTTGTTATAGAAGTTAGTCATGACGTGTGCTAGCCCTGTAAAAGACTCCTGACTGTGTTTGTGTCAATAAGGCTTTGAAAACCTCTGCAGAAGTCATTATATACTTAAGTTGAGTGAATAGTCATTTGTTAGTGTGGGCGCAGTTGATCGAAGGGCAGATAAAGCTATCCAACAGATAAATTGCTATCCAATGAATAAGTGGTAACAAAATGTACAGCACTATATCCATCAGGTAGAGATTTATCTATTGAACAGCATTATCCATCCTTCAAACAATTGGGGGTAGATGTCTTAAGCAGCATCCAAGAGACCTTTCACATTGGAGATGTCAAATAAATTCTCCTTTCTTGCTGTGTTACATTTTTAGTAATGTTAACTGTGAGAATTTGGAGTTAAATCACAAAGCACTCCTTCATCAAGGTTGATAAAGGAAATTCTTCGAGGAAAAGGATTTGATAATCTACCACAGTAACCAACAACAGTCCCTTTGTGGATAAACTTTACATGGACAATCACAGTGGAGGAGCGCTTGATACTGTAATTCCTCCACTGGGAGGTCACTACCCTCTCTTTCTCAAGATCTGAAAATCAGTTCTCCTCTCTGTCTCTAATAAGTCTTATATAATTGTAGCTCTGAGAATTTGTTGTTTAATCACACAATACACTCTTCATGATATTTCACTTTTTTTCTCATCATGTTTCTGACTATGTGAAATTATTGTAAGGAGAAATTACCAAATGGCCCTCACAATTCTTACATTGAGGAGTCTCTTCACTTCTCCTCACTGTCTTTGATACAACTATAGTAATTGGAGTTCTGAAAATTTGTTGTTTAATAAAACAGTATCCTCATAATGATATTTAACTTTCTTCTTATAACCTTTCTGACAGATGATATACCAATATTGTAAAGAGAAATTACTCATTGGCTACTCTCAGAAGTAAAAGGGTCAATCTTCTCTCCACTGGAAAAATAATTAATATTATAATAACCTATTACTATATTTTAGGTCCACTTAGCCCTACCTCTCTAAACAAGGATACTAAGCAGGATGTGAATGTGGAGATACTGCCTCCATGATCCTGGAGATGAATCAAACACAATTGCTTGCCTCAAAGGTGCCAGGGCTATTATAAAACAGACACTTCAGCTGTATTCTCTTGATGAGCTGAGCATCAGTTTCAATGGTCACAAGAACTGCACTGGGCTGCTCTGCCTTTTGCATGCTGCAATGAATAAATTATCACTACCTGCCCAAGAGCTAAAGGCCCTATACTTTCTCTACAAGTCACAATTTCCACAAGCAAAAGAGTTCATCTCAGAAACCACCACAAGGTACAACTTGAATCTCATAACAGGAAACATTAGAACAGGTATGAGGACATTGAAAGAAACTCGACCTAGAGTCAAGGGTACACATCACTAGGAAGCACCCACAATACTAAACCTAAGCCTCCCTTGAAATGAAGTGATGGTGGTAACAGGTATAAACCAGCCTACATGTTGGAGGATGGGAATCTAGAGAGGGCAGGGAGAATCTAATTGACCTTTTTGTTAATTAAAGAGCATTGTTAGATTAAATTATGCCCCAGAATTCTCATTTTTGGAACAATCAACAGTTGGACAAAGACTGAGCTGTGCTGTAGATTAAGACTAAAGAGGGTTATTTCAACAAAATACTTGTAAAATTAAATAAATAATCAAATTGATAAGTGTGCTCTTTGTTTTTGTTTATTTTACATTACACTCATTTCTAAATTTAAGCAATAACTCTTCCCTAAAAATGCATCGCAACCAAGACATCACACTACCAAACCTTATAATTGCATAACTCAATATCCTGCATCAGTATGAATTCAACCTCTATTTCTGAATTGTCTTCTGAATTTTTTCACCTTTCATCTTAGATATTCGCAGAAAATCATCAGATGTCATAATTGTATAGCAAGTTGTTATGTTTTTACAATTTTTTTAAATAAGCTTATGTCATAAGCTATGTCATCATCTTCTATAAACATTTGCCTCTTTTGGTTATCCAAGAAAACCAAATGTCAGCCACACTGCTCTTTCTAAACACATGCTTTGCTGTTATTGGTTCAGTACATCATTAAATGTTCAAAGTGTCTTCTTTACTTTATTTTCTGGCAACCAACATTTTATCTCTGGTGACCACTTTATTATTTTTGGTTGCTACTCAAAAAAGTGACTTTAAAAGTATTTCAGCTTAGAGTACCAGTTAAACAACACCCTTAAAACTAAAATCCATCTAAATTTAATATTTATAATTTTTTTTACCAAAAAACAAGGAAATAAAAAATTGTTTCCTCTTTTATTTCATGGAGGAGTACAGTAGCATAATCAATTACTTTTGTGTTGTAACAAGAATTGGATTTGTCATGGATCAAATTTTAACCAGGGAAGGAGTTAGTTGTTTGAAAAGTGGTTAAAGCTAATCTAGGATTAAAAGTTAACCTTGGCTCTAATTTCTAGGGGAGAAGAGCATGTTTAAGAGTTAAGGCTTTATTGGGTTTTATCTCAACATGACTTAAAACTAACAGCAAAAAAACGATCCCTTTGCAAGGCCATTAAAATGAATTAAAAATTTACACTAACCCTGGTTTATGTTAATTGTGCTGTGAATGACCAGGCCCAGGTTGTCAATGTGGAGAAAGTGTACAGTGTGTCCACGTTTTTAACCATTTCTCTCTCAACTCTGATAGTATTTTTGGCTAATGTACATTATGCAAGTTATTAGAAAAGAGAGATGGTACGTTTTGAGCTTAGTAAAGAAATAGAGAAAGATGTTGGCTTTCACAATTTAAAAATTTAAAGCATAAATTCAACATTTTTGCATCATTTAAAAGTGTAGATTAACAAGTAAGAAGGAGGACATCATTTTTCTCCTTAACTCATTCTTGTTTTCTCAAAGAATTGAGGAACTTGTTGATTACCAATATCCATTTCAAACATGAGATGCTTCATACCACTGACAGAGAAGGTATCCAGTCAACTCGCCGACGCCAACTCGCCGACGTATAAAATCGAGTAGAGACGTCGGCGAGTTGGTCCTCAATCCAATACAACTTACTAGTAGTTAAACATACAGAAAAGTAAACGATATTTAGTAAAAAAACACTGGCGAACATTGGTGAACATTAAACAGAAGCTCAAACACGGGTTAACATTGGTGAACATCACCAATGACTATAACAGCTTATTAAAGACGCGAACGAGTTATTGTGCGACAACAACACCGTAAAGACTCATCATGTCAATCGCTCAGATTTTTTAGAGAAAACTTGGCTTTCTAGACAAGATATTTAGTAAAAAGCAATTCTTTCTATTTGCAACAAAGTTTATAAGGATCTCAAGGTGAATAAAGCGAAGTAAACATCGCCAATGAACAAAATTGGCTGTAGACGCGAATGAGTTGTGTGACAACAACGTAAAGACTCATCATGTCAATAGCTCAGATTTTTTAAAGAAAACTTGGCTTTCTAGACAAGATCTTTAGTAAAAAGCAATTATTTTTATTTGCAACAAAGTTTATAAGGATCTCAAGGCGAATAAAGCAAAGTAAACATCGCTAATGACTATATCCGCTTCAGACGCGAACGAGATAATTATTGTGTGACAACAACACCGTTTGTGCGTTGACTTTTTACTAAGCGACTTGACTTAAATAAATAAGATCGATTGACATGAGATCCTTATAAAATTTGTTTCAAATAAAAATAACTGCTTTTTACTAAAGATCTTGTCTAGAAAGCCAAGTTTTCTTTAAAAAATTTGAGCGATTGACATGATGAGTCTTTACGGTGTTGAAGCCAAGTTTTCTTAAAAAATCTGACCGATTGTCATGATGAGTCTTCACAGTGTTGTTGTCACACAATAACTCGTTCGCGTCTGATGCTGTTAGAGTCATTGGTGATGTTTACTTCGCTTTATTCACCTTAAGATCCTTATAAACTTTGTTGCAAATAGAAAGAATTGCTTTTTACTAAATATCTTGCGCAAAATTTCCGCACAGCCCCATACATCATTATACATCCATATATGGGGCTTTATTTTTCAGTGTATCACCAGTAAGATGTACATGCATAATTAAGTATGGGGCTGTGCGGAAATTTTTCCATATCTTG